CTAGTCTACCTGTCTATTCTCTCTAGACGATTGTACACATGTGTTACCTCTAGTCTACCTGTCTATTCTCTCTAGACGATTGTACACATGTGTTACCTCTAGTCTACCTGTCTATTCTCTCTAGACGATTGTACACATGTGTTATCTCTAGTCTACCTTTCTACTCTCTTTAGACGATTCTTTACCTTGTGTTTCCTCTCTCCGTGTATTGCAGGACTTAGTGTAGCCGTGGTAGATGATTGTTCACCTGTGTTTCCTCTCTCAGTTTTAATAATATTACCTGTCTTAAATGTGATATGTAACAAACAAAATTCTAAAAAAGTCATGTCATACTCCTGCCATATATTCTGTCATCATACATTGTTTGAATCGGTAAGAGCTCATGTTATCCTGTATGTCCTGTACCGTAGATAAAGATGACTACTTACGTATTCCATTTCTCCGTGTATTGCAGGGCTTTAGTGACCGTGGTAGATGCCCAGCTATGCGGTTGGCGGACATTCGGAAGCTCTTACCTCAACACGGTGCAGCGCTACCGACCCTGTAGCGACGAGTGCAGGACGGTGCGGCCGATGACAACGTGCCGATGCAGCTTCAGCCTCACAGCCTTGTGCTACACCACTGATGATGATGATTGAATGATTGTGTAGCATACACCACTGATGATGATGATGGTGATGATGATGATGATGGTGATGATGATGATGATGATGGTGGGGATGATGATGATGGTGATGCTCGTGGTGGTGATGATGATGCTGCTGTGGCTGGTGGTGATGATGGTGATGATGATGATGATGATGGCGATGGCGACGTGTCGTGCAGCTTCAGCCTCACAGCCTTGTAGCATCCGCCACTGATGATGGTGATGATGATGATGAGGATGCTGATGGTGATGATGATGATGATGATGATGGCGATCATGATGATGATGATGATGATGGCGATGGCGACGTGCCGATGCAGCTTTAGCCTTACAGCCTTCTAGCATCTGCCACTGATGATGGTGATGATGATGATGAGGATGAGGATTATGATGATGATGATGAAGATGGCGGTGATGATGATGGTGATGCTCGTGGTGGTGATGATGATGCTGCTGTGGCTGGTGGTGGTGATGATGATGATGATGATGATGATGGCAACGGCGGCGACGATGACGATGACGCCGATGGTGCTGTCATATCATGGAATCTATGCTGTTGCTTGCCATGGAAAGTAATTTATTACTCTATAAGGGTTTAACAGCTTGGTGTGGACTGCTGCAGGGAATGGTCATAATGGTGTGATAGTGCATTGTCACCTGTTTGGATTTAATTTCCCGTGGTGAAAGTTGGAGATTTGGGTTATGACTCTAAACAGAAAGCAATCAGAGCAAATCACTGTGTCCACCATCTTCTGCTATTCCCCACAGTATCGTCACACAGTACGATGTACGTGTGTTTGCATCTCACAGAGCCGTGTATTAGTGTTAGAATGGATATATTTATATTATATACATATATCAGGGGTTAATAATGACAAATTATGATAATTGATGATATGTTATGACAAATAATGATTTGTCATTATAAACCCCTGATATATATATATATATATATATGACTCTGCACTTGCTGTGAGAACAACAATGCATTAGGTTATTATTCTGGATTCAGAATGGAAACAGGCAAGCAGACAGATATGCTGGTCATGATCACTGCAAAATAACACTTTAATTACATCATCTATCAGAGTTCAGTGCATAAGGATTTAATACACAGGCACTTGAAGTGTTTCAATCAAAAATAATGCGAAATAAAAATGAAATGTATTTACTACCAAAGTCTTAATGTTTCTTTACTCTCTTTCTCCTATTATTGCCGTTATTTTCGTGGAAATGCCATTCAAATGCTCCTCTGCAACACATAGGTACACCGAACGCACGCACGCCGCTGCACATTTACACTTATATATGTAGTAAGTAAATAGTAAGTATATGTACATACATAGTACCATTATATATATGTGCAGCGGCGTGCGTGCGGTGTACCTATGGGTTGCAGAGGAGAATTTGAACGGCATTTACAGGAAATTATTGCCAATAATAGGCAAAAGAGAGTAGAGAAACATTCTTCGTCTCTTCTTGAGTCATCCAATGCCGTGCGGCGTAGGTGAAGTAAAAAAAAAAAGAGAAACATTAAGACTTTGGTAGTAGGTCTAAATACATTTTCGTGTTTATTTAGCTATTTTTTATTGAAACGCTCCAAGTGCCTGTGGTTTAATACGTTTCATGTGATAGGTAATATGAGCATGGTACTTAACTATCTATCTATACTTCGATGGAATTCTGTATATAATGTGATTATTGCAATTTGAGTTGTTGTTTTTATGAACACAGCACATCAGGTTTTATATGATGAATCTCGTAGCAGCACTGTGTAAAATGTGATATAAGTTAGCAAAGACGAACAGTGGTGTAATTACTTACTCATTAAGGCTGTGGTTCCTCACTGAACCTCATGGTATTGATGTAACCAGCTAATAGCGGATCAAAGTCAAGTAAACGCCCTCCTATTTAAGCACACTACTCGTGATAGCTTTTCATTGACCATCATAAACACCCTCCTATATGAGCACCCTGCTCGTAATGGCTTTTGAGTGACCATCATAAACGCCCTCCTATCTAAGCACACTACTCGTGATAGCTTTTCATTTACCTTCATAAACGTCCTCCTATCTAAGCACCCTACTCGTGATGGCTTTTCATTGACCATCATAAACACCCTCCTATATGAGCACACTACTCGTTAAACGCCCTCCTATTTTAGCACCCTGCTCGTGATAGCTTTTCATTGACCATCATAAACGCCCTTCTATCTTAGAACCCTGCTTGCGATAGCTTTTCATTGACCATCATAAACGGGGTTTCAACTAGAGAAGCCCTTATTTACCATATCTTACGAATCATTTCGACGGCGTTGCAGAATCTGACCTGTAAACCAGTGTGGGGCTTTAATATGCAAGCTGCTAATTAATGAATAAGCGGTTTTCGGTGATCGCAGCGACCCATGCGGCCAGAATATCCGGTCTCTGTTGTAGCCGTTGGCTAATTAACTGACAAACGCCAGAAGCCAGCCAAGCACACGTTAAGTGATTCACTAAGTTGGCTTCCTGGGGAATTGTGTTTTGGTCCTAGCGTCGCGTCAAGCAAACTAAACGTGTAAGATGCATTTATTTTGGTTGTCGGTTTATCCAATGCAGATGTTGCTCTTCTAAATTGGTTAGCGAAGGCAGTGGTGCAAATGATTGAATACATTAGGCAGCTAACTGATGCTCAAAGCACGTGGTAGCTTTAATTGTTCGATACCCTGCTAGTAATAACGAAGATGTCACTTCTAGTACTGATATGATATTAGTGATTATAACAAGTTGCATTGTATCGGGATATCTTGCATCCATCAGGTTAATACCATTCAAATTGAGGGGGGGGGGTTGCTTGGTTCTACATTTGAATTGTGTAAATAAGGGTGTAATTTAGATAAAGAGGTGAGTAATAAGGAGGAACGTGAGAGAGATCCGTGCACAGTGCTTAGAGCAGTGGTTCTTAACCTTTTTTGAGTCCTGGACCCCTTTGAGGATCTGGTGAAAGCTACGGACCCCGCCGCCAGAAAAGTGCACACAAGCACATAAACACACAGTTTTGCATGCGCCTGGTTCACGGACCCCCTGAAGCCCATCCACGAAGCCCATCCACGAACCCCAAAGGGGTCCATACAGTTGAAGAACCTCTGGCTTAGATGAATTGTTTCTGCGACTTTTACTTACTATTAGAGCTGATTCGAACGTGTGTTTATTCGCACTTCTCTTGGCATGTCGTGAAATGCATAAAGTAATGTAGAGGTCAAATATGACATGCGAAGAATTACAGCAGCTTCAGGTTCGACTGAATGTAAGAGTTATATTCGTGGAATGGGGTATGATCGCTTATAGTTGTAGCGTTGCATTCTGACCTTAGTAGCAACACCACAGTAGACTACTCGAGTAAAGTTTCTCTACTGTACAGCACATTGATAACACATTCGGTCGATTGTAGTTATAATGAATATAATCCACCGTTCCTTGTGGTGTTATATATTAAAAACTACCAGCTCAGTTTTCCCAGAAATTCTACTGTTTAACTTATCAAGCACTAACATCTGTCCCCTTATATTTACGCATTCGACTTGTTTAATGTTTATAGTAATTCATATCTCTTTTTCTAATTTAATTTTTGCTGTGCATTGCCTTTTGACTCATGCAGACGTAAGTAATTGGTTAAAATATCACTACAAGTTTTGCCAAACAACGAATTAACGCACGCATTATTTAAGGATGGCTGCATGTGGTATAATAGAATGAGCTTTCGCCCACGTGTATTGTATCTGATAGGCAATCGTTTGTATTGTGATACTGACATTGCTCACCGATTTTATAGGTTCTCGTATAGTAGTGTTAGTTTATCACTGCACCAGACGTGGTTCTAGTCTCTGCGTTCGAAACAACGTTCTTCGGATATGTTCATGAGGACGTTCACACTCGCATGGTATCGCAACATGAGGTTTACACACTATAAGATGTCCACATCTCGGTATTCGATTATCGAAGCATGGTAACCGTGCTCGAGTTATATTATAGTTAGGCATGTTTGCTGGGATGTGTAATGTGTAAATGTGAAACACATGGAAATCAAATTAAACATCTCGTTTATTTCATTGTAAACTAATGCTATTTTACCTTAGTAAGTGCCTATCGATTCGACCGTGAACATATCTATACAGTCCGTTGACGTATATTGTATAGATATGTAACCCGATTCTACTAGTGCCTGATGTGGCAACTAGTAAAATGAACATTGTATTTTATATCTTTTTTCGTAGTTAGTGTAGTGATCTAAACTAGTTCATTCGCCTCAAACTGATGGACTGAGAACGGTCTGGTACTTCCATACAAGGAGTTTCACGTGTCTTTCAGCTTAATCATTAAACCATTGTTTATCTGATTTGTTTATCAGAAAATGTCGATAACCAGCCACTTCGCATAATATGATAACCACTGACGTCACTATTTCTTGGTTATCACATAGCTAGTTAATAGTGTCTAGTGGTTCGAGCTTATAGACATATTGCGGGTCACCTTGCTAGTACTCTTCACTAATTAATTCATTAATTAAGGAAACATGGATGATGACGATCCTTTAGCGTCTATAAGCATTTATAAGTACGTATATCTCGCCATTCTCTTTACGATGATAAATTTACCGCCATATGATTAAATGTAAGAATCTCATACTATTTAATATGTTCATGGGTTCTGTGGAAGTACAACGCATATACCAGCGTTACCACCCTGAGACATAACGCAGGATCGTGATATGTACTTATATTAATTTATTATTAAGCTTGACAGGTTAAAAATTGTAAAAATTACAAGGTACATAACTATGAAAATAACAACCGTAGATTGCACTCTCTGTGATCAGCATATCCATAGAAATTTCACCAGTATTCAAGAATCCAGATTGAAGTTTGTTTATAATATTACTTAATATAATATATTATTATTCTGATCACGGCATCGTAGAAATGCTGCAGGCTATACGGTACAATCATCTATGAGT